GTAACATGTCCTGATGAAAATCTCTACAGCCATGCAAAGTCTTTCATGCTCCTTGGCATTAAATACATTTAACAGATCAACTTGGTTGAGCAGTGAACAGGTAACTGAACAGATAAGCATACGCTGTAACTATTCCCCTTCCACCTCCCTGTCTTTCCCCACACTCCCTCAAAGGAAAGAAATCTTTTCCTGTTCTGATCTATTTTTACAGTCTAGTGCATTGGTATTTTGGATTATTTCCAAGGGTATTCTTTACTGGGGCATCACAACTAAACGCCAGATTTCAAAATTATTTTAGCATATTCTCATAGGCTACTTCACAGAACAACACTGAATTAATAAAGGATCCAGCAATTAGGCTTTTCAAATGCAAATACGTTAAAACATAGTAAACAAACTTTAAAAAAAAAAACAAAAAACAAACAAACAAACAAACAAAACAAAACCAAAAAACATCAGTAGCCTAAAGTCCAGATTCTGCTTCTTATCCCCCCACAGGCTACATAAAGTTATTAGCAGCCTGCACTCAAGGGAAATTTCTGAAAGCAGCACGCACACTCAGTTTAAGTCCTTACCTAATCGCCAGCTTATTTTTTTGAGCAGTTAAGCAAGAAACAGCTTTTAAACCTGGGAGGCCAAGAGGGACCTTCTGCCTCCACATCCCAGCGTGGGTACCTCCGACTCGGCTCAGGAGGCCGGGAGGGGAAGGGTCCGGTCCTTCCTTCCCAGGGATGCAAGCCCGAGGCAGGGATGCCCGGCCGGCGCTCCCCCCTGCCCGCTCCCCGAAAGGCTCCGAGCAGGAGCCCCAGGACCCCGCCGCTCCCCTAACAAAGCCAGGCGAAGCGCCTGCCAAGGCGAGGCGGAGGAACCGGGGTTGGGTTTTGATTCGGGCCGCGGCGACTCGGCGGTTTTTTGTTTTTTTTTTTTTTACCTTTCTCCCTGCTTGGTGTTGGAGGGCGGAGGGTGCAACACGGTCTGGTTCCCTTCCATCTCCACGATGCACTTGGTATTCAGGTCCAGCTCTGCAAGGCGACAACGGCGGGGGAGCTGCACCGGGTCCGCAGCACACACACCCCACACCCCCCCCCGCCCTTCTCCCCGCACGCCGGGGCAGCTCGCCCCTCGGCGGGGGCCGCCCGGCTGCGGGAGCGCAGGGCAGGCGGCGGCGGGGAGCGGGGGATATGAGGGGGTTTATCCCCCCCTCCACCTCCCGAGGAGAAGCCCGGTGCCACCCCCGCCCGCTGCCCCCCCCCCCGGTTACCTCTCCTGTTCATCGGCCGGACCCTGACGGCAACTTTCACCTTGGTGTCCGACATCTTCCCACCCCCGCCCTCCTCCTCCTCCTCCTCCTCCTCCTCCTCCTCTCCCCTCAGGGAGCGGCGGGCGGCCCCGCTCAGCGGCAGCGGCGACTCGCGGCCTCGCAGCGCCGCGCACAGCGACACGGCGGAGCGCCAACGTCCATGCCGGGCCGGGGCGAGGGCGGGGGACCGGGGCAGGCGAGAGGCGGCGAGGGAGGGACGGAGGGAGAGGAGGAGGCTCCGGGCGCCGGGAAGGGCGGTGATGGCACAGCCCCAGCCGCCTCCTCGCTCAGCCGCGACCCACACCAGCTCTGGCGCTGGCTGCCGACGGCCTCGTTTGCATAACGCCTGCCGCCGCCGCCACCGCCTCCCCGCCAATCCCGACCGCCATCTTCCGCCGCCTCCTCCTCCTCTCGCCGCGCCTCCGGGATCGCGGCGGCGAGGGGGCGGGGACTGGCCGGGGAGACGGAAAACCACGAAAACGCCCGAGCGCCTTCGGTGCCAGTGGCGGGAGGGGTGGGGAGGGGGCGGAGGAAACGCGGGACGACACACACTGCCTTCCCCCCCCCTCAGTGAGCATGCGCGACGGGCCGTGCCTCGCAGCAGTGAACAGGGCGGGGCGGTGGCACCGGCCCGCGCATGCGCAAAGAGGGCGGGTGAAGCCGGAGCTGTCAAATGGCGTCGTGTGGGCCATACCTGGGGAAGGTGAGGAGCACTTGGAACTTGCCACCGGAGGAAGGAGTGGTATCTGCCTTACGCTCTTTGCTCAGCTGTGGGTCGATAGACAAATGTATGGAAAGGCTGAAAGGGGAGAAACGAAAGTGAAGCAGGTGGAAAGCAAGAGACAAAGATTCAGCCCTGGCCCTAGTAAAGCTGCCTGCCCAAACACCACAGGACAGAGTTGTGTCCATCTACTAGCAGCCAGTTCGGCATCGGGGGGAAAGCGTTACAAACCGCAGTGCGTTACCCCAGCTGCCATGAGCTCCAAGGCTGACAAGCCAAGAAAGATTTTTAGTTAAAACTGCTGTAGGGTTATGATCTCAGGATAGCGTTCCTTTTGAAGCGACCTGTTAAAACTTTGGGTTCTCACCAGAAGCGTCCCCTTAACTTCAGGAAAATATCTTCCAAAGAATCCTTACTGTTGATGAAGCTAACTGGCAGGAATCCCAGGCGCAATCCCTGTAACATTTTCTTTACTGAAAAGACAGGCTCAAACCCAAACGGGATTATTCTGTCTACTCTGGGGCTAAACCACTGTAGGGAGAATGGGCTAAACAACAAATGATGAATAGATAGCTGCGTTGAGAAAGAGCAGACCTTTCAAACTGAGGTGAAAACTATGGATGGTGCTGAGAAGACTGACCTCCCCAGCTGCCAGCATACCAGCCAGAAGAGCCCTGCAAAGCAACTGGGAGGAATGGTCTCTGGAGGAGGCGCAGCTGCCCCGAATGGCCACGGCGTGCAGGAATGCTGAAAGGAAATTAGAGACGTGTTTAGTGTAGAGAAAGAGAAACGTTACCAAATAGAGCCGGGCATCTGGAGAACGTCAGCAGCAGAAGCTAGCGCACGTGGATTTTTTGCCTGTGGAAGTAGGCATAAGGAATTAAGTTTGTTACGAAATGCATCGTAAGTATGTGGCTCAACGAGTAAAGAAAAGGAGCGATCTTGAAATGAGACACCCTACTTATAGACTGTAAGAACCCAGATCAAAGTAAGCGCTGGCTCAAGATAAGGCGTGAAGTCTGAAATGGCTGTGCAGAAAGGGAGTTGTTCAGTGAAACTTGGACACTGTTGGGAAAGAGAAGTCAGCCAACAGAGGGAAGGGAAAATATTCTCTTCCGTCTTGATTTTCCACCTCTTAGTGGAAAAACTACATCGTTGCAAGATTATATAAAAACAATGATATTAGCTGAAAAGAAACTAAAGGGAGTCTGTATGAGATTGACTATGATTTCAGCTGTGGGAAGAAGTTTTCACTAATGTCTGGAATAGGCTTGTGAATTATATTCCACCATTTGCAGCTACAGAAAACCAGCCTTGCAAAAGCACATGTAACCTCGGTTGTTCTCATACAGACTGTAGTTGTTCTCTTCTTGTGAAATCCTGATTTTTTTTCTGGGGTTAGGTAATTGGGAAAAGGATTTTTGCTCTTTCATGAACATCAACGTGCCCCGAAAAACAACTGCCAAGAATGAGGTGCTGGTTCCACCAAGTTTTTCTGTCCTCTTAAGGAAGGGCTTTTGGTATCATCTGTACCATGACCTGACAACATCTATTAAGCAGCATGCATGGTAGCAGAATATATTTCTGGTCCCCCCTAAACCTTTGGCATTACAGCAAAGCAGGAAGAGAGTTACATTATACAGGCCCCATGCTATCGTTAGGTAGCCCAAAGAGCAATCTGTGAAGGGCTGCGGGAAGCGAGTGCAATTCAGGCCGATATTCCTCTTCTGGCCACTGAACACAGCTACCATATGGAACCCTCTACATCTCTGTCTTTGCTACAAGTAGCAACTGTGGATGAATGTCTCTCACTTGTCAGCATTCGTTAGCTTGATCAGTTTACGTGCCCTGTGGCTAATCAGAATTAGCTGCCAGCTATCCCAGACACAGGGATGGATGGATGGATGGATGGATGGATGGATGGATGGATGGATGGATGGATGGATGGATGGATGGATGGATGGATGGATGGATGGGAGATACCAGATGAGAAATGACAACTTACTGCTTCAGCATTGAGAAAAGATGAGAGCTGGAGAAAGTGAAGACTGATGGTGGGTGAGGGGAACAGGGGTGGGGACACAAGGACAAAATCATCTGAAGCCATCCCTCCCTGATTTCCTTTTCCTGTCCTTAGTTTCCTCTACCCTCTGTTTTGTTCTGGGCCTGTACCACTGCAGTCAACAGGAATTTTGCAGCTTTACTAGGGCCAGGACTGAATCTTTGTCTGTCTTTTGCTTTCCATCTGTTTCATTTTTGTTTCTTCCCTTTCATCATTTCCATACATTTGTCCATCAATCCACAGTTGAGCAAAGAGCGTAAAGAAAATACCACTCCTTACTCTGGTCAGAAGTTCCAACTGCTCTTTATCTTCCCAAGGCATGACACAGATGACGTGGTTTGACACGAAGGAATGCCCATGTCTTCCCATGTATTCTGAGCAGAAGGATCAGTTGCTCCACTTCATGACATGGAAATGGAGGAGCGACACTGTGCACCCGGAGTTGATGCCTGAAGCCCCGCCGGTGGGGCAGAGCGTTCCACTGACTTCCTTTCTTCAGTGAAGGGCAGGGAGAAATGTCACAGTGCCTGCCAGGAATATCCATCTTGTCAGCAGCGTCCCCAGTGCATATCTTGCTGTGTCTGACTGGTGCACACTGTCACCAGCACGTCTGACTTCATCTCTTGTCACAGGAGCTGGAGAAGAGGAGGTGCTGGCAGCAGTGAGAGCATGGGAAGCAAAGCAGTGTATTTATTTTGGTGTTGAGAGTGTCAAAAGAAAGACAAAGTGTTTAATTTTACAGCACCTGAAATCCAAAAGATGCTTGCAATGAAGGTTTTTAATGCAAAATTTAACCCAAAGCATGCATTTTATGATTGATCAAAATTAAAGTTTTCTTTAGGTTTCCAAATTTTTACTGAGCATTTTTTTAAAATTAGAATTAACAGAGGAATCAAAGCTTTATTTTCAACCCAAACACAAAACAGCATCATCCAGTCTGAGAGAAAAAGGTAAAATGAACAAATACTGTATAATAAAACCAACAGATATTAAGGAAATAATCTAATATATTACATTTACGTTAAGAAAAAGCATAGGAAGAGATAGAAGCTCATAGCTCTAACAGAGTTAATTGATAAATTTTCCACTGATGCTGGTGAAAAAGAAGAATGGATAATTTTTTCTTTTATTTTTTTTTAATAGCATTTAGCATATAGGAAGGAGGCCTGGACATCCTATAGGGGAGAAATATTTCATACTGGAGGAGTGGAATAAAATATGACTTTGTATTTGTGACAGAACACCAATGAGTGTCCTGTTGCTCACACAAACTTGTATTTTTCATTGAATAAAATGCATTTAGAGACTACTTAGGGAAGCAAGTGCCTGCCCATAATTGTACACTGGGAACCAAATTTCTGTCTCTCACTCTTCATTAGGTTTGGTAAGTAACACCACTGGACAGGTACGTTGAATCTATAAGAGTGCATGAGAGCAGGATTTTACCCAGTGACCCAGCTAAGGGCACTTTTCAGGCTGCTTTTCTTTCTCCTTTTTGCTCCAAATTCAAGCTGGACCTCAGTCAAGATGGATGTTTGCCACCTCTCTTATCAGAGATCTGTTTTGACCGTCTCTCAAGCTGTGCTGGAGGCATGAAAATTGTCCTCTATGTCCAGCATATTTATGGCAACACTGGACCCAGAAAGTGGCTGTGGTGACAGACACTCTTCTGACACTTGGAAGTAAAAGAAGTGTTAATTGCCAGTGTTAGGAGGAATAAATGCAGAATGTATGCACCTAAACGTTACCCTGCCTGAGAGATGCTGCTCAAAGCTACACCAGCTGGCTGAGAGCTGTGTGTTTAGGTTCCTGGGTAGTACATTGCTTTTAAGAGGCACTGCAGTTTAAACCTCCCTCAGCTCTGAACAGAGCTGGCTTACAGGCTCTGTCAGTGGTGAATAGACTAAATCTGTTCTCACAGTCAAATTTACATCTGTTTTGAATGACCTGTTTGGCTTTACCTGGATGGGGTGCTAAGCTCTGCTAGGACCCTACCTCTGCCTCCACACCCACCCTGGGTGCCTGAGAGTAAGTGGCCCTCTGGGATCAGAGGTGAACAGCCAGTGTCCCCGAGGCAGGCGCAATCCCTGTCTCCATCAAGCTGAAAGGTTCCTTGCTGTGGGGGGAAAAAACACCAAATGCAATGTCACTGATCAGATCCAGCGTTTTCTCCCTGTCTCTGATGCAATAGTCTTTTAGAAACTTCAGCCCAGCATTTAGCACGGTGGATCAGACTAAGCCATCCGTGAGAGGAGCTGCACAGTTTTAGCTGCATTTAACTCTGTGACCATTCTGCAGATAATCCCTTCGCCCCACTCGCTGAAGAACAGGGGCCAGGGAGCTCTGTTCCCCATCTCCTATCACTTAGCAGGAAGAAATAGTTTCAAATGACTGTGGGAACTTGGTCATTGCTACCAACAGATGAAAAGTCATATTAATAGAAATAAACGAGCTTAGAAGCAGACTAATGCAGCTATAGCCAAGAAACTGATGGGAAGCAAAAAAGGGGGAAAAAAAGTAGCAAGAATAATTCTTTATATTGCTCAGATACATTTCTTTGTCCTCCTCCGACAGCTAGATGTGTGCTGTGTAGCTCACGTTCCATAGCTGTCAGGAAAATAAATGATACACTGGTGGGTTTATTTACATTTTTGTTGCTATTCATGTTAATTAGCTGTATGCCATCCCTTTTTCACCTCAGGAAACACTCCACTCCCTACCCAAATACCTTCCTAAATTTCTTTATAGTGTGGAGAGCACGGCTGTGAGTTCACAACCGAGTGATACCATAACGAAAACTTAGGTAGATGGGGCTGTTCTCACTTCGGTTATTTCCCGCAGTGAAAGAGGAGGTACAGACAACGATGTAAAAAGCGTTGCTGAGACTCCACCTGGAAAAGTCAGTACAGCATTTGGGGAAGAGGAGTTCAAACTGGAACAGACCCACAAAAGGATTACTGGGAGGACTGGGGAGTGGTCAATATTTGCAAACGAGCAGACTATAAAGGTTCAGTTTGTTTAGTCTAGCAACATGAAGACTGAGAGGGGATATGGCTGTTTATGCTTCCTTTCAGGCCAGTTAAAAGCGTGGTGCTGCTCAAGTTCAAGGAAGACACTAGCACGAGAACAGATGGCTGTAAGCTGTCTTTCATGCAGCCCTTTTGTTCTGGGCTGCGTTAGGAGAAGTGCTGCCAGCAGGTCAAGGGAGGTGATGCTTCCCCTCTGCTCAGCACTGGTGAGGCCCCACCTGGAGTGCTGGGTCCAGTGCTGGGCTCCCCAGTAGAGGAAATACACGGGCTTACTGGAGTGAGACCAGTTCAGGGCCATGAAGGTGGTTAAGGGACCGGAGCATCTGATGAGGAGAGGCAGAGAGCTGGGGCTGTTCAGCCTGGAGGAGAGAAGGCTCAGGGGGATCACATCAGGGCACACAAATACCTGAAGGGAGGGGGCAGAGAGGACGGAGCCAGGCTCTTTCCACGGGTGCCCAGTGACAGGCCAGGAGGCCGTGGGCACACACTGGCACACGGGAGGTTCCCTCTGAACGTCAGGAAACACTTTTCCACCGTGAGGGTGACCGAGCGCTGGCACAGGCTGCCCAGGGGGGTGGAGGCTCCCTCCTTGGAGATACTCAAAAGCCGCCTGGACCCGGGCCTGGGCAGCCGGCTCTCGGTGACCCTGCTTGAGTGAGGGGCTTGGACCAGGTGAGCTCCAGGGGTCCCCGCCAACCTCAACCCTCCTGTGATTCTGTCTTGGAACACACTTAGGCTGGAAGGGAGTTGACTTCTACCCCCAGAAGACTGAATGGCCTCTTACACAGAAGTCCAGAGGACTACACCTAGCTAATTGTAAGACAGCTTGATTGTATGAGATGCCAGGATAGCAGGGAACCTGTCCTGCTGACCCTACCAGACACACACCATTATGCAGTCTTTAAACACCATGGTGATGATAATAGTTTATGGTAATGGAAAGAGAAGGAAAAGGAAACAGTTTTGTACTGTTAAAAAAGTAAAATCACAGGGTCCCAAAGGAACTGACATCACCTACCCCTGGTTAATGTAACTATGAAGTTACGAAAAGGGATTGATGTTAAGTCAAGTAGTCTTTACTAAGAGATTTATAATTGTTCATTTTTTTCCCCCTTTTCTACTATATATTAGTAGAAATTGGATGCTTCTCCTAAGAAACAACAAACTGCCACAGCTGGTTTGTAACATTATTTACAATTTAAATCAGCAGACAGGCCCCAGCGAACTGACAACCCTCCCATTATTCCCCCTACCCAGAAAGCTCTCACTCCTCTTCATCTTTATGATAAGGAATGTCTGGTATGCAAGCGTCACTCTAGCACATCCCTGCAGTTCTCTTGTGATTATGTGTCCCAAATCGAGGCTAAGGACACTTGTGAGCAGGGAGCTGGCTCACGAACACTGTCCAGAACATCACTAGGTATTATGCATTTGATAAATGCCGGTGTGTGCCTTACCACAGGTAGAAAAAGTGAGTCTGCAGTCTCCAGGTCTCTTCAGTTAGCAATCAGATACTACACAAAGTCTGTCTAACATACAGCAATGCTCAGGCTCTGTTTTCAGAGCCGGGCTTTTTGCTCTGTAGGGATGAATGGGAAAACTGTAAATATAAACAGCCTGATTAGTGGCAGCAGCATCTTGGAACAGAAGTGCAGCATTCCTGTTAACCCTTTTGCACTCACTTATGGTCCCCATGTTGGTTTACTTTCTGCTTTCAGGGAGAAGCTCAACTTTGCTGGCTACCCTGCATGAGACTTGGAACCTGGGCTCTGCCCCTGGGAGGAGGAGGAGGGTGGGGAGGGAGGAGTGCATCCACCAAGCTTGCTTACCAAGTAAGCTGAACTATTAACCATGCTGGCCAAGCCAAAATTTCTCCTTACGCAATTACTTTTTTGTGATGCCTGCAAATATGTGCCCTAGCCAAATGTGTGTTATCTTTCTAATGTGTGGAGAAGAAAAGAAGCTCTTGCTTGAAAGAGATGAGAAAGGAGAACAGTACACACTGGGAGGTCAGCACGTAAGGAAGCTGAGCAAGGCAAAGCCTTGAGAGAGGAGGTGGAATTGCAGTTGTTAAAGCATATAGAAATCAGCTCAGCACAGATCTTGGATCCACCTGCTGACTACTGAAGTCAACAGGAAGATTCACATTAAGTTCAACAGGTTTCATCAGCTCCTGCATAAGGTGGAAACAAATGCTGAGGGTGCTAATTAAGTTGCATAACAAGACTCAGAATCTTTAATTAGAAAACAAAACACCCCATCAGTTCTCCCCAGCCTGAAGAAAACGTACCAAATATAATCATCTCATAATCAACAACAAAAAGATTATCAGCAACAGATCACACTCTTATTTTTAGATTTAAAACTGTCAAATAGTGCAACCACAGCGCGTCCTTTGTTGTCATGTCACTTCAAATTTCATCCTCTGATTCATGGCAAAAAGGCTTGTACTTTACAGGTGAAAAAATTACAGGAACAGACAGCCTATGTGGGCTTCCAAGCTTCTTGTAGTTTATCTACACTACCATTTGACAGGGAAACTCAGACCAGTTACAGGAGTCATCCACAAAATCCAATACAGGAGGATCTCTGGATCACTGGGACCAGTCTGCTGCTATTGCAGAGAACCACAAAAAAAAAGCCAGTGACTTGCAAGTCAGTGATTTCTGGTTTAGTTTTTCCCACAGTCACTATTACAAACAGAGATGCACAGGGGGAACTGGGGAACAAGGGTTCCTAGAACTGTTAGTCCACACACACAGTTTAAATTGTACAGTCCTTCACCCTTTTCTCTCCTGTGATAAAGCTTGCACACCTGTGTCCCAAACGCATTCCCTGAGTGACTTAAGTCTTTTCCTACCATTCATATTGTGACCTGAGGTTTCCTCCTTTTAATCCAACAGTAAAGATGAAAGGCTGTTTTAGAAAAGAACCACTGCAAAACCAAAACATGGACAGAAGCTCCAGGGAAAGGAATCCTTCTTCTGAAACAAAAGTGGAGTGAACACACATACACACCACATATTGTGACTAAACAATGGGAATATAGTTCTGGAAGACACTTCAAAGGACTAAACAACCAACTGAGAAGAATGGGTGAGGGATGTGCAAATGGCACAAATTGGAACAACGTGGCTGAATTGCAGAAATCAAAAATTTAGGCTTATTGTCAAGAAAAAAGACTTGAGGTTCAAGTTCAATACGAGCGAGAGGGTGAAAGTCCATCGCTTGATATAGATGTTTGAAAATAATTCAGTTGCATGGCTTTTATTTCTCCAGTGAAAAAGATACAAGAAAGCCAAGATTTACTTCTGCCTTCAAGGTATGCTTTTTCTAAGTGTCTGGTTTTGGATTTTATTTCAGTAACACTGACATGGTGGAAATATGAGAAGACTAATACCAGCCGCATTTTAATGATAACACCATCCAGACGCTGAACAGCTTTAAGAACATCACAAAATAAATGATAAATATACCTGGAGCTCTAATCCTGGGTCTGGGGCAACTTCAATTTCACTTTGGCATACGAGAGAAGAAACAGTCCATATTTCACCTGGTCTTTAAAAGCCAGCACTCCTCCATCTGAAATGAAACAAAAAGTGGCTAACTAAGCAGCAACCTTAGAAATCCTTTCAGACAGTCTTCTCGGGACCTAGAACCTACAGTGCCGTCTGTACCACAGCAAGAACACCATAACTTTCCTAACCTGTTGGCTAAGAGCATTAACCTCCTCTTGAGGATCTGCACAAGCAGTTCAGGTATAAGGTCTCCACTGATGCCAGCCCAGGGTGAGTCTTGCCCCAAACTGCTGGTTATTGGGCAACTGCACATCCCAAAAGGGAGGTGTGGTACCAATCCACTCGGGCTGAGAGACTCTGAGGAACCAGGCAAGGGCTCAGTATGTTATGAAGGAATAAGTAAGAAAAGCTAAACCATTACATTAAATTTGTTTCACAAAAGATTCATGATGTTGAAAGTCATAAATAATTATAATAAATTCTAAACATGCACAGGCCTTTCAGCACGTAAAAAAAAAAACATAGCAGCATTCCCAGAAATTGTCATTATAAAGGCTGCTGCAGAGACTTTTCCAGGGCAAACCTCTGCACTAGCCTGCATCTCCTCGACTTCAAGCTCAGTCCTGTGGCGTTTATTTATGTGGACAATTCCATTCACAGTACTCATGACTGCACAGATAAACTATTAATGACAGGGCAAGCCTTGACTCAAACAAGTCACTTTAAGGAACAATAACAATAGAAAAAGACTAATACATATATTTGAAATACTTCTGGCTTCCTAATATCATGCTGTAAGTTGAATGGAAGTTGGTGCAGAACTCGCTGAAGAGCTCTATTTCCTACCTAATTAAGAACAACGACAAATAAGGGAGCCAGGCACATCCTTTTCATATGAAGATGATTATAAATTTTTAATACTTAATCTGCCTGACTCTTTCTGATAGATTTCTTATAAAGCACATCTTTAATGACATTGTATTTCTTCTCATGTTACCTCCTCAGTCTGTGATAGTAAAAGACACAATGGCTCTTTGTTTCTTACTTTCAATACAGGTCAGTAGTTACTAAATACCAGTTAAATTCCATAGTCCATGTTATTCAGGAAATCATGCTAGGCGAGCATTAATGTTTCATATGAGTTTTATTTTTTATTTATTTATATTTGGAACAAAACCCAGTACCTGAATTACCTCCTGTGATTATGTAGGTGTCATAGTTGTTTCAAGATCATCTTTTTTGTATTAGAAGTTTTAAAAGGAAGTTTTAATAAAGGACATCTTATCTTTTTTCTTTTTTTTTTTTTTTTTTTATATCTTCATGGTTTTCTCAAATAAATTCTTTCATTTTCCCAGCTATAATTTTCTCTTTCTAATCCTATATCCTATATCCTGCTTAAAATTGCCTGCCCTTTATTCATTACAAGGCATATAATGATATTTAGAGGATTTAAATTGGTTTACAGAATCTCCTGACTAGCAATATTTTCCTGATTAAAAACCCAATATATTCCATGAAAGCAGAATTTGTTCTTACCTCAACTCACTGCCCGTATAGCACTCACTGGTGACCAAAGAACAAAAATTGCCTACATTAAGATGGATCTCAAGAAAAATGCTATCTATGTATTCAATTATGGGGAGCATACTTCCCTAAAACACTTGATTTGCTTCAAAACTTCATTTTCTACATATTTTTGCTACAATTACAGAGCTGAAAGTAATAGCTGACCTAAGGATTACCATCTGAAAAGTGCCTAATAGTGGCTGGGAAATCTGTTCAACTGTAGGTTATTCCCCTGCCAGAGGTCAATACTAAATCAAGAGGCTAACAGCCCTTATCGTCTTGTCCATTTTTCCAGGCTGAAATGCTTCACCTCTGAAGAATGCATTCCCTTTAGTGGAACAATGGGTGTGCTCTGACTTGGTGGAGTTAGCCCTCTCCTTAAGCCACAGACACCTTTCATTAGTTTTTTCTCCTTTTCAATCCCCTCTCCTCCTTTCTATTGTCAACATGAAAAAAGTAACTTGATCACTGCAGTGGGGCTTCACAGCAGTACACCTCCTTACAGAGCATTTCAGAACTCTGAAACCACACATCTTTGTGGAGCACACTGGAAGCAATTACCTAGGAATACACTGTGGCTTAGAAAAGTATTAATTTCCATGATTTGTAGGAAACACCAAAGGAATTAGTAACAAGATCATCAGTAAAATGTCAAAACTTCTTCCAAAATCAGGAAGGCAACTCCCAGGCAAGAGGGTAATTAAACACAGACTCTCTGCTTTATAAGGCACCAACCTTGTAATGGGAAGTCTGAGAGCTGGTCTCAAGTGTATCAAAGGCTTCCCTTGATTCTCAGCTCTCCTCTCTGCAGCTTCAGGGCCAGGACATTTATATCGTGTTTGCCTCAGAGGGAGGCTGGAACACCAAGTTCAAAAATATCTGTAAATCTCTTGGAAAGCAGTGGTGAGAGAAAGGCATCAGTGCAACGCAGCATCTGCTCACTGAGAACCTCTCCAGTAGTAGCTAGCTTTAAAGCTGTTGAGGAGAATCAGACAGGTTATACTCAGGAAGCAGTCTAGGGAAAGCCTGTATGTTTATGTAACAGTATCAAATATTAACATATTACTAGCATATTATTTGAGATAATTAAGTTGAAGATGTAACGCGGAACGGAGGCATGGTCAATGCCCACTTTGATGGAGAAACACAGAACTGGCAAGTATTCCCTCCCCCTGGACTCATGCATGACCCACAGCAGCCCACGGCAAAGGGAGAAATGGTGGGTTGGTCTTCGGTTTAACGTATTTCAAGGTTAAAGGTTTACATGTTTTGCACATTTGGAATTTTGATATGCAGGTAATGATGATAATTCCCCATCGCGTTCAGTAGCACACAGGGTTTGCTGAAGAGGAATCAAGCAGACAGCGCCTGTTCTCAGCTCACCTCCAGCGGGTCTGAGCCAACCTTCCGCCCGGCGATGGCTGGGCATTGCCAGGTGAGGCTGGCTGATACCTTCTCTCAGGTCTGCCTGGCCTGTTCCTCTTTACAGTCAGTGACTGCGTATGTGGCATGACAAATTTGGAATTCTTCCTGCAATTTCAAACCCTGTACATACCTATTTCTCTACTTCGTTTCCAGAGCCTCGTTTGTGCCTTCGTGCTGGCTCTGCAGCTTTCACATCAAATTAAAACAATCAGTCAAGGCGAGGATAAAGCTCCTCCAGTTGCTGGGGGCTATACATTCCACCTGGAAGATCCTCCGTTCTGGTGGAAGCACTTTTGAACACAGCTGGCCCAGCCAAGAGAGCCTGCTGCACCAGATGAGCTGGTGACTCAAACAGCAGTGGCTGGGGCTGGACAGGGCTGATGAAGAAATTGCACGATAGACCTGACAAGAAGGTTACAAAAGACAATCTCTTACAAGTCATTTCCCACCAGATTTTTCTAGAGTAGGACAGTGGACTCTATATAGAGGATTCTGGTGTATTTATAGGGGAACTGAAGGTAACAAGGGGAAAAAATCCTATTAGCACATTTAAACTACCTACACAGGGGCTAGACCTCAGGCTCCTGCTGCTTTCTAAATGATCTACCACTTCTGAGATGTCCAAATGAAGTGTGAGATTTAGAACTCCTTTGCAAAATCCATATATTTTTGCTGTAGTCATATTATACTCCTGTGGAGGCAAGCTGTGATGCGCAGGCGATGTGTAAATTACAAGGATGGGCCCCTGAGAAGAGTCAGAAAAACCCCCAAACATTGAAGAGAAAGAAAGGGATGCAAATTCCTCCTGTGCGGGGTGCAACAGCACCACAGCCCATGGTCCCAGAGGAGAAAGCTGCTTTTTTACCTCTCAATCCTTCCAGAAAAGAAAGGTCTCCTGGATTCAAGGCCATCGCTCTTAGTGGTTTGGGGGCTGGCTCATCAAACTCTTAGTGGGTTTGGGGCTGGGCATTACAGGAGGTCTCCTCTTAACTTGAAATCAGTTCATGTTAAAAAAATGCTATGGTGGTGTTACGTCCACGCTTTGTAAAAATATAAACATCAAAGTGATGTGCACAGCAGTGTGGCTGGAGGGAACGGACAGACGATCAAGCGGTCGGTCAATGGCCAGAATGAAGTTACCTTTTTTTTCTTTTTCCTGTATCTCTTCTTTTTATTCATCATTCTGAAAAATTGATTATATTCTTTACATAAAATTATTTTGTTCACAAGCAAAACAAAAAATATATATTAGAGAACACAATTTCATCACATATTTCTGAAACTGCCCTGTCTCCTTTATTCCTAAACACTGCAAACATACCCCGGTATATTTATATGCAACGACAGCAATCTGACATCAGCACTTAAAAATAAACCAAATAGGAATTGCAGTGTGTGCATGCTCAGACATACCAATCTATAGTAGGGGCTGAAGAGAAGACATTAGGGGAACACTGTCCATTATAATTGTTTGGTTTGAAGCCAAATTGTTAAAGCATGAGGTGCAGAGGGTTATGCAAAGTTTAGTTTAGGTTCTTGTTTAGTTTAGGGTTTTTTTTTTTTTTAAATAAATTCAACAGTAATTATCACTGAAGTGATTAGACACATTTGCCATGTTACATTCTAGATCAAATGGCCAGCACTCTTTTCCAAGGGTAAGCACACATCTAGCTGTCCCTGTTTTGAGCATATCCAGTCAGACCACAAAAGCATCACCCACCTAGTTATAGGTGCCCCTCACCCTTTCCCATCCCTCTCTCTGAACCCAAATTTTTGTTCTGTTGAAATCTGTGACTAAATGGCAACAGATTTGCAGATGGATAGGAGCAGTGCACATCCCTTGGGCCTTTGGAAAGTAAATGGCATTGAGGTATCATCCTGAAGGCCATATATATCTACAGTAGCTATCGGGGAAACGTGCATATATGCACAAAGGAAGAAGCAAGAGTAAGTGAAAAAGTCAAAGGCTTTTTAGTTTGGTATCAGCATGTTGGTGGATCTCTGTCTCCCATTATCTCTGAAATTCTCGTGTGGCAAAATAAAGATTTCAGGTTTACTGCTGCACTTTCCCTTACGTGCTGAAGAACTCAGAATTTTTAGTACGTGGTTTTATACAGTTATTTATGGCTTCTCAATTTAGGCACCTGCATCAAATGAATTAAGACTGAATGTAACGGTTTCTTTGATGCAGTGTCGTACAACAGTGAGCACCAAGCTTTATACTAAAAGGAATCCAGCTGCATCATTCACAAAGTCTACGTTTGCTTTCAGAAGGTATGTGAAGCAGAGACTGCAGGGGATGGCATACAGCAAACTAAGTAGAATAAAGGCACGATGTTTATTTTGCTTACAAACCCAAACATCAAATGATTTCTAGTCATATACCAAAGGAGATTGGAGAAGAAACGGTAACAATGGGAGTTTTTGTTGATTTCAAAACAGCATGAGTCAAATATTTAAAAATCAGCGTTTCAGCTGCTGGAAAGTTGCCCACATGGCAGTAGGCGCTAGGAAATTTGCCCATCCATGAGCTCAGTAGCAAAAACAAGCTCCTGGTACGCACAGAGGTTTGAGGAGATGAAAGCTCACAGCCCACAGTTCAGAGGAAGTGCTACTGAGATAAACTATTAATTATGTATGAATATAGCACTGATGGTATTGCATGCATTTTGAAACATAGCATCTCCCCAAAGGAACTGTTATCTAATTGCTTTTATGTCCCTCAAAGACAGATATCTCCTTGGCACCTAGAAAGGAATACCTATATAGTCCAGGGAGCTGCTTCTCTGAGTAAATTTCCTTCCTGACCCCTCAAGAGGGCTCCTGCTCCGCGCCGAACACCTCCTACTGCAGAACAGCCAACGAGTATTTCTGGTCCCACCAAGGCACCTACTGCATGGCCTGGCAGTAGAGATGGCTGGAAAAGATCAAATGTGCAGGTCCATGGATTTTTTCAATAGCAACAAATGACCCTACAAGAACTTTTGCAGGGTATCTCCAAATAAAAGAGGAAACTATCTACAGGGCAACTGCAATAAAGGTATTGGATTGTAATGGAGAAAGATATGAGGAGATTTCACTAAATTATTCAGTATCAGAGTAAGCAAATCACACTTTATTGGCAGGTCACTGTTCAATTAAACTTTACACATAGCTGCATTTAATAGATGTGTTTTGTTTATAGAAATGTTAACATAAGACAGATTAATACATTGTCTGAATTAGAGGGATAAACCACTCTGGTTTAAAGCAAGTATTTGGTAAATCACTTGTGCAGCAATACATGCAGTTATTAAATATCCTGAAGTCAGACCAAAACCAGATTAAAAATTTACTGATCGAAAGATTGCCTGTGAACTTCAAATTACATTAGTTAATATTAATGATTTCAGTGACTAAATAAATTACCCCAAAAGTTTTATGCCATTTTAATCTACTTGTCTCTACCTCAGTTAGCATTTACATTTATATCTAACTTCCTTTTAATGCTGAACCGCCTAAGTAATCATTTTACCAGCAGGTAGATACCTAAAAATGCAGCAGTGACTTCTAGTGGGGGTGTTAACTCTTCAAAATAATTCAGATATATCTTAATAGCCACTGTGCAATAAGGCAACAGAACTTGTGTGCACACTGAAACTGTTTTCAAGAAAATATAAACTGATCTAAACCTGCTGTGCATTCACGATCAACAAAACCTCATTTGGAAGTTAGGAAAAAAAAAATGAGGCTGACATCTCCTTTTCCCTATTCCCACCAACTTTACAACTTTCAGTTGAATCTTGGAGTTTGGGGTGCAAAAGCACCATATTAGTGACAAGACGGAGGCAGGCGGTATTGGAAACCTCCCAAGCATAGCTGTGTTAGCAGCACAACCAAATCAATTTTATATATGCAGAAGTATCTCTGGTCTAAACACGAATACTTCAGGGGACTTTTAGGGAGAGCTGCCCATGCTGGTAACCACACACCGAATTATCTCTAGGTAAAGACACAGACTTGTGTATTATACAGGAAGACCAAGTGTTGCAGTACAACCCTAATAAAGGTGGGAATAAAGTAGCACAGAGAAGAGTGCTCCCAGAAGCGTGCTTCCCCGGTATGGAAAAAATAGGCTTTGAGCACCAATTCACTTCATGTAACTCACTCATCGGCGGTAGCTCTCCCATCGCAACGACCTTAGCTGCATTCAGGCAACCTGGAACTGAAGCTTCCATTTCTCCTATTATTTCGCCAAGTCAGTCTCCTCTCTCATGCAGAAATCCTGGAAACAGAAACTCTGTCACTCTCATGAGTGTATCTACCCTTAAGGAAGAGTAATTAAAACGCGATGAGAAACATAAACAAACGATGCCTCCCTTTCTCTCCCAGGTGCTGGTCTTTGATTACTCCATTCCAAATGCCGCTGTTATTACTTGTCAAAAAGTACCAAAAACGTTTGATTGCCAAGGTATGCAAAACTTTTTAAACACCAGCCAAATTATCTGTTTGGTTGATTCTTTGTTGACTATGGCCTGCAACGGCCAGGTCTTCTCCCATGGATAGGCGAGAGATTCGACGTAAGTTTTGCAGGAAGAACAGCGTGTTGGTCAAAGAGGGCAATTCCACTCAAAGCCCAGAAAATGCCTCCTCCCTACACGCCTAACACCAGGACATCGTGTGCTTTATGGCCGAAAGCAGCTTGAACCTATAGCAGTAAGCATCTAAACCCATTCAGGTGGAGCTATATATCTTTACTGAATGATCACCGCTGTCTAAAACGACGAGGAAATTGTTTGCCATGTAAGTCAGTCCGACAGGATAAGAAAGCCCATGGCTAATTAGAGGGTTAAAGATGGGAAACTCCTCAGGTTTCCCTAAGCATATTACAGCCTGGCTGCACACATCTGTTACTACAACACGACCCTCTTTGTCAAAGGCCACAGCCGTGGTATATATTTTGGAGGGGAAAACGAGGTTCAGACCGAAGCTATCCATCTGGCCAACAAGATCCATCTCCGCACTGAATATCTTCACGCGGGTGCTACTGCTGTTCAGTCCTTGAGCTTTCAGGTGCTCTATCACGGCGATAGCACCCGAGGTCTGGGAGACCGCGACCCCTCTTGGGCTGATGAGCTGAGACCGGATCATCTGACACTTCTTTAATTCCCCCTTCTTGAAGTCGGCCGTCAAGCGGTACAGGGCGCCTGCCTCCGAGTCAGTCAGGATTACTTCGCTCTCGGGGGTGGCATCCAAGCCCCACGGCAAACAGAAACCCTCCCGGATGGCCAGGACCCCCCGGCCCTCAAAATCGAAGGCCTTCACGGCGCGGTCTCCGCCATCGGTGACCACCACGTGCCCGTCCGACGTCACCGTCACATCAAGCGGGTACTTGATGTCGTTGCCGGCGTCCCCCCGCTCCCCGAACCGCTGCAGGCAGGAGCCGCTCGGCCCGAAGACGTGGATCCTCTTCTTGCCGTCGTGCGCCACAGCCAGGCGCCCGGACCTGCGGCAGGCAGCCACCCCGGTGGGGTTGACCAGCGACCCCCAGCCCCCCAGGGACAGCCGGAGCCCGAGGCCCGCGGCGGCCGGCCCGGCCTCCCCTCCGCCGCTCCTCCCCAAGGCCGAGGGGCCGCCGGCGGGACCCAGCACCTCCAGCAGCTGCAGCAGCGGCAAGCAGTCGCTGGTCTCGGCGGAGCCGCAGACCCGCCGGCAGAAGGGACACTCCAACCGCCGGCGCTCGGTGCCGCCCAGGGCCCCCACGCAGCCCCGACAGAGGACGTGCCCGCAGGGAAGGTTCCGCGGCCGCCGCTGCCCGCCGGGGCCGTACCGCTCGAAGCACACCCGGCACTCCAGCAGGCTCAGCTCCGCCTCGTCCTCCGCCGCCATTCCCGCCGCGGGGAGGCGGGGCGGGCTCGGAGGGCGGTGGCCGAGGGCGGGGCGGGGCCCGAGAGCGGGGCGGGGCCTGGGGGGGGGCTGGGCCTGAGGGCGGGGCGGTGGCTGAGGGCGGGGCGGGCGCCCCCTGTGGGCGAGTTGAGGCGCGGAGCGGGCGGGCAATGGCGGCCGGGGGCAGCCGCCCGCCGGCAGCGGCGCTCAGCCCTGCCCGGGAAAACGCTCCTTCAGATTCCCTACAGACACCCTGGGGAAAACGCTCCTTCAGATCCCTACGGGCACCCTGTTCCCAAGTTACCGCGCTGCTGCTGGTGCTATTTACGCCCGTATTAGGGTCATGGTGCCGCCCGCAGTTCGTTGGATTTCTCGTGCTGTTCAGGGAAGCTTTGGAAAACGCAATGAAAACAGTTACAGCTAATGACTAGCAGCCGCTTTTCCCAAAGGGGTACGTCAGGCAGCACGTGCTCACCCTGCAAGGCGTACCCGCAGCGTATGCTCGGCGTAACCACACTACGCTCGGGGCTGGGCCATCTTGCACATCCCCAGAACGTCCCGCCGGGCACCCCACGCAGGACACCGCCGAGCACGCAGCAGCCTCGGGCCCAGCACCAGGCCTTGCGTGGCTTATCGCCTCTCTGCAAGCACGAGATAAAATGCCGCAGCGCTCACGCTGCGTGTGGGGAAAAAAAAATTCTAGAAGGAAGTGCTTTAACCTGGTAGCTGCAGTACTGGCCAGAAGGGAAAAATACGTGAAAGCAGTAGCTCCCAGCTTGCACTGGCCCACTGGCTACGGCCTTTCTCCTGTCAACCTGGCCTTTGAGTGCCAGCAGCTACAAGCAATATCGAGAGTTGCAAGGGCTGTAGCTCGGGGACTCCTGTGCTAAAATCATCAGACCTGCTGGCAGCTCTAGGATTATAACTCTCTAAAAAGCTCCATGGCTTTTAGTCACCTTCCAGTCTTGGTGAATTATAACACACTACATTGCAATTGTACCTTTCCAGCGTTTTAGCTGCCAAGGGGAGAAGGCCAGGACAAGAAAGGGTTTTGAGAGCCCCGAATTCTGTGATTTTTAAAAATTGCAATAGTACCCATACAGGAGCGATAGAAGACCCGCCAAGGAAGGTTTGTGTTCAGCTGAACACGCAGCAGCTCTGCAGGCTCTTTCTTTGAACGTCCTCACCCTACAAGCCCTGTGCCGGTTTGCTGGCTCATAGCTGCACTCTTGAAGGAGGGAGCAGCGCACACGCGAGCCACCGCAGGGGCATTTTCTCCCCATGCTCTCTCCTTTATTGTCATCCAGTTCGCTTCCCTCCTCCCTCTCCTGCTCGACCACAGCTCCCCCTCAAGCAGCTGCTGCCAGGCGTTCTTGCCCGCTCACCGCCAGCTCCTCTCTTGACTTCTAACGGCGACTCGCGGGGATGGAGAGGAGCGGCTGGCGCCGGCTTCCCGCCTCTCTCGCCCAGCTGCCCACCCTGGCGCCGCAAACGGCACTTGAGGAGCAGCTGCCACTGCTCGGGGGGCTGCCAGCCGGCGAGGCCGACCTGCGGAGTGCCGGGCAGTCAGCATCGACTGGCAACGGCCGAACAGGAACAGGAACGTTTCCTCTTCCCAGCTCTGATGACTCGAATTGGTATGGAAGAAATAAGATGTACTTAAAAATGCTTGTTTGTGCATGGGGCATAAGAAAAGCTATGCGCATCTCAAGACAGTGAAGGCAGCTAGGTAGGAGAGCTGACTTGGTAAGCAAAATGGACAAAAATGTCCCACAGACATTTTTCTGTACACTGAAGCCTGCTTTAAGAGTGCCCCAAAACCTGTCTCATTTTAAAAGGTGAGAAAAAAATAAAAGGAAGATGGGATGTAAGTTATTTTAATTAATTTTAATCAAGCTACAAACTTGAGTATATATAGCACCTCCAGAAAATAATCTAGTCCCCATTGTCTGTGTCTGTCTGAGAAGTCATCAACTTTTTGAAGACACTTAATTTCACAGTGGTTGCCTGAAAAGGAGGAAAGAGGAACAAATTGCTGAATGATTAGTTATTGAAAAATGCAAACTGTCAGGGAGAAAAAAGAAAAATCTTATTCACAGATTTCCTCACAGTCCCTAACGCAGTGGTGCAAAAGCACTGGGGAAAACTTATGGGCGTCTTTTGCACTGGGATGCAACTGTCCATGCCAACGACTCACTGCACACTGACACTGCAGGGGTCTCAGAAAGTTGTAAATTTAAAAGAAGTGCAATATCAAAGCACATCAGGAGGAACTTTTAAAATTAAATTCCCTGTCTAATTCCAAGTTTCATTGTTTTGATGGATTTTAATTGTATGTTTAGCATTTTCTTTGCATGGCATGTTACTTTTCTTTTTTGGCTACAAAAGTACAGCAGAAACTGTAGAACTGGTATGCACAGACCTTGTATTAAAGCCAGGGTAGCTGGTGATGAGAGAAAGACAAAACGGTCAAACGGGACTAAGGCTGCAGCTACAAGATCACTGAGCACAGTATGAGTCGTGGGAGAATTAAAAGTTGCCAAGGGGAGGAAAGAGACAGTATCTGTTTCTTGGGTTTTCTTCGTATCTTTTGAAGAGCTGAGCATTTTGCTTGACAGCAAAGTCCCTGTGGCTATTTATTTTCCCCATTATTTGTCCATGACTTCACCCCATAGATAAGAAGCAAGTGACTCTCTATCACTTGTCACAGCGTGAGGTAGAAGCATATAAATACATTCATGTGTTTTGGAAAAAATTCCTAAGGGTTAGCTGAAATATCACTTACCAAACAAGCTTTTAATTTCAGATTCAGGAACATAAAACGGTGGGCCTGAAAGAAAATGGGAGAAGCTAATCAGAGAGAGACGGGGAAGAGACAAACATTTTCACTGCGACAGGAGAGCCAGCCCCATCACTCACAGCACCAGGCCCACCAGCGGGCCCCAGTGTCTACCACTATCTGCAGGAACCAGGAACCACCATGTCCAAGAACTCGTGGCACCTTGCTGGGCCACCAGACAGCTTCAGGTGTTGCTGCTGCATCATCTCCAGGCTGCAGCCAGGGTAGCCACGTTGTCAGAAGTCACAAACATGCCGTGGATACAACCACTCTCAGCACACTGTGTGAATCCGGCCTACAAGCTCTTTATACTACAGTGGCATAATTAAAGCTAAAAGCTGAATAAGGTGAGAGGGAGAGCAATGAATTAAACTATTGTTGCTTATGATAACAAGACCTATTTTTTTCAAGGATAATTATGCCGAAGAGCCCAAAAGCAGCAAGAAACCTCTTTCTTTTGAGAGCTAATAAATTAACAAAAAAAACCCCAAAACTTTTAAAATACCTCAGGCTTTGGTATGTTGTAAAAGTTACAAAGTGAAAAAATATTTTATGATTTTACAGAATTTCACCTCTTCCAAGCATATTCAGACCCTGGTAATGGCTGGGAGAAAGGCACAAGATGGGCAAAATGTTGGGCTGCAAGTATTGGGTAAACAGAGCGAAGCCGCCGCTCCTGGGAGTGTTTCAAGCTCCCTAGGCCAGATGGGATGTTACTCTAAGCATTCACTCTTCCAGCTTCATTGTCAGAGCCATTCTTCTAGTTTCATTTCACTGTTAATATACCATGTCTGTCTTCCACTTACCCTTAGCATGCGAGAGGGAAAGCAAATTTAGTCTCAAGCTTGGTCAACATCTAAAATTTTTAACACACAGGTGTATTGGTGTGATCGGCTGGCAAAGCTATGCTGATAAAACATCTGGGGAAGATACTAATATACCTACCACATCTATATACGATTTGTATTAAAGCATGCAAAATCAAAACGTGAACAGTGCCCAGTTCTCACCTTTGTGTTTGTTTGGATCATATGAAACAGTAACAAGGAGATAAGAAGAATTTTTCTCCATTAGGGTGATCATTAAACTGACATAGCTAAAAGGAGAAAGTTATACTTTGTTATTTTGGAACCACACAAACATTCAAGCATAACATTCAAAATATTCAACAAAAGAGGTAACATGTATTTCTATGCAGAGACAACTAGAACTGAACTGCACAGAAACTAAGCAAAGCTTAGTTTGAATTTCATGAGCATGAAATTCATGCTGCACATGCAACACCTCAAATAAAGGTTACTGTTTACTTCTCATAAACAAGCATTTATCTTTTTTTGCATATTCATCTCAAAACTAACAGACAAAACATAGTATTCTTCTGCCATAGTTTAGAATACAGTACACAATACAGCACCGATCTTTTAAAATTATTGTCAATTCAAGATTATGTGTCTAATTAAAAAATCCTGGCGGTAGGGTCAAACTACATTTGGGTTGGCTATAGGCAAGAATGAAAAATTTGAATAAAGGGAAGTGAGGGGAAAAAGAACAAAAAGAGGAGAAGCAGATGGGTTGAAAAGGAAATAATAAAATTCAGATGAGACGTGCAGCTCTGCTCCTGCTGGGTTGGAACAAACCACATATTTTCCCACCAAGAGGCAGGGCGGCTTCCTGAAGGAAGCTCACAAATCTAGAGTAAAGAACTCTGCAACTGCAGCTGAGGCTTGTGGTAGAGGAGAACTTGTGTAGGTTAGTCCTTTAAACGAAAGGACTCATCGAAAAGTGGCAGGAGGAAAAACATGTTACTGCATACATTAGAGAAAAGACAATAACAAAGATTTACTAACCGTTGTCTGTCGCGTGGATTCACAGCTACTAGAGCTCCTCTGTCCCAAACCCCATCAAACTTGCCAACTATTGAGCTATAGAGAGATGAGGAAAAGGCTTAAAACTACTAAAAAGGCACCTTCATCTTCATTCAGATACTTCTGTGAAGTCATGAGGATTCTCCAGCTACCTGTGCAAATTCCCCAGTACCTTTTTGTTACAGTCCAGCATGATCCAAAACGATACGATCTGGAATGCAAGAAATCCCCCTGGTACATGACCCTGCTGCGACAGCAAAGAGGTGCTGGAATTGCTCAGCACCTCCCCATCATGAGGGGGTGCTGAGGAGACAAGGTGGGGGAGGAAGGAAAGTAGCTTAAACACATCTGGGCTACAAGTCTGGGGTTTTGGCAGTCATCATGCCGTGACCCTTGAGGCAGCAATAACATGCTTTCAGCACACCAATAGTTCTTGGCCACCTTCTAAAACCCAGGCATGATTTCAAACGTGGGTTAAGGTGCCTTGTTCTTTTACTATCACTGAACTCAGCACACTCTAATTTTGGACACCTCAATTCCCAGCTACGTGTCCAGGACAGTTAGCTTCAGCTTGCAATTTGTTTAATGTTAGAAAAGCTAAATTACACTGCTGCTTGCCCCAGCCTAACACTGCCACAGACATTATTTTTACTCCTACATATGCTGGCAGATGGCTTCAGTGACCACCCAAAACCTGCAAATGGCCAAGACCATTGGGAAGTGCGTTTATGGGTGCTAAGAGCAGTCAGGGCGACACTAGAGGTGAGGATATTTGAGGGGGGAAGGAAGAGCCTTGTTTCTGATATTCAGAGGCCTTGTATTAAAACCAGAGTAGCTGGTGATGAAGTGCAGAGAAAGACAAAATGGTCAGACAGGACTAAGGCTGCAGCTACAACATTACGAGTTTAAAGAATAAGGTAGTAGTAACATCAATTGCATTTTAAAGAAAGTCTGAAGTTCACTTAGTGAGAAAAATATAGTATGGAATTGTGCAATACCTTTCTGCCTACTTGGATGGGGTCAGAGTCCAATTGCATCATCTCTTTGGTTTTGGCTGGGGTAGAGTTCATTTTCTTCACAGTAGCTAGTGTGGGGCTGTGTTTTGGATTTGTGCTGGAAACAGTGTGGATAACACAAGGATGTTTTTGTTATTGCTGAGCAGGGCTCACACAGAGCCAAGGCCTGCTCCTCACCCCACCAGCGAGGGAGCTGGGGGGGATGCACAAGGAGCTGGGAGGGGGCACAGCAGTAAAACTGGGAGGGATGTTGTCAGGGGGGTGCTGCTCAGGGGCTGGCTGGGCTTTGGTCGGTTGGTGGTGGGAAATTGTTTTCATTTGCATCCCTTGTCTTTCTTGGGTTTTATTTTCCTCTCTCTTTAGTTGTTGTTTTGTTTTTTCCTTTTTTTTATCTTACTTTTTTTTTTTTCTTTCTCACTTTTACCCTTCTGATTGTCCATGCCATCCCACTGGGGGAGGAGGCAGGGAGTGGGCAAGCAGCTGTGTGGTGCTTCTTAATGAAAGGAGATTTTTAAAGAGACAGTTTATCATGCAATGGGCATGAAGGAGACACAGCAAAGTCTAGTGGGGCAGATGACAAACTTCATATTCTGAGGCTTGGAGGCTGTTCTCCTCTCTGCATAGCTGAGTCTCCTGAGTGACCTTAGGCAAGCCCCTGAAGTTTTCTGCACTTGGTTTTTCTTCCCAACTTTAATCTGGTCTAACTGGAATGGTGGCGGTGGCTCCATACAAGCATTTCATGTATTTTACTCCCCACTGATTTCATCAGAGCCTACAGACGTTGCTGAGGCCTTCCTCCAGTCCTGGTCTCCTGGTTGCCCAGATCTCAGGACCTGCTGAGTGTCTGGGTGCTCCCTGCCTGTCTGCACATCCAGTTTCCTTCTGAGGAGAACCAAGCCATGAGGAAAAGGACAGAAAAGGTACACAGCTGTTTTTCATCCTGATATGGAGTCAGGATGAAGCTAAGGTGTTAGAAGTGTCCCTCTTGGGTACACCTTTCATTGTATCACTACCCAGTCTTTTAGCCCTACATTATCTCCTACTATGTGTTTATATGGTACGGAGCATGAGAGATCACTGTCTGGGTACTACTACAACTAATAAAAAGTAACCCATAAAGCAGAAATTCATATATATGCAGAAATCCTCCTGGATTTAAGCAGTAAAGTTTTGAGTTTCTACCTCTGCGTATGTTTAGTAGTTTCTCAGTTAATGCAATTTTTTTTTTTTTTTTAACCTTGCAGCCGTAATTGTATTACAGGGTACTACAGTTGTGTAATGTAACTGTTTTATATATGTGCCAGAGTTCTCACAAAGAGCAGTAATTCCTGTTACTCTTTAACTAGCAAGAGTCTTTGAAATGCCTCATTCTGACAAAGGTCAGGAACAGATCTGAGTTCTCCTCTAATGTATGCTAGGTTAATGGAGACCAAAAGGATTTGTTAGCAGGCCAGCCTTAGCAAGAGAGAAATAAGTTTAATTTCCATAATTACTGGGTAATTAATCAAATAGAAACTAGAAGACTGGGTGCATTTTTCTAGTTACAGGTATCTACTGACTGCTGTAGGGAATGCAGTTCATACTTTCACCACCACTGCACCCAGTACAGAACCACGCATCCAGAACTTGTATCTGTGGATTTATTTTGTGGATGACAAACTATGTACTGGACCCAGTAATATGCACTGAAAATGTCATCGATTACCCATTTTTGGCTTATTTCATAGTATTATTCCATCATGTCATGACAGAAGTTACAGGTTTCACCCTGCTACTTATTACAGAACTTAGAACTGAATTTTTCAAAAATTGCTGACAAGAAGCTTAGAGCAATCCCTGGGCAACTTGTCAGCTCTCAGCAAGAAGGATTTATAGGGATCTACACAGCAAGTAGCTACACTGCAGAGGCAAGGCAGGGAAGAAACCGGGCAGTATCTACAAAGCCAAGTTCATGCACAGCCCATCTGTTTCCCAGGCACTCGCTTTGCAGGACTAGTTATATATACACTATTCAAACCAGTTAAGACTCAGCTGCACCAGCATAAGTCTTAGCAACGGTCTATTGTGTACAAGACTTTGGACTTGAGTAATTAATAGTCTTTCTTTTCTAGTTTATGCAGATTTAAAAAAAAAAAAAAAAAAAAAAGATCATATAGTAAACATCATGTTCTAGTGTCCTAAACTACCTATTATACCTGTATATGTAGTAGCTCTGAAGAGCCCACCTAAGCAAAGATTAAGACTTGATCTCCTTCTTCTTATTGAACAGCCGTGGAACAAATCCTTGTTCCTGACAGTTGTTTGTAAGAAAAGGAAACAAACACATAAAACTTCACCAAAACCTTATAATCTATGTAAAATCATGTCTGAGTAAGAACTGCGAGAGGAAGGAATGATAGTGCAGGACTCTGGGCATCTTCAGCTTCCTACAAGATACATTACAAAACCAGGAAACACCGCTTTCTTGCATGCTCTCCAATCTCCAGCTACCCCAGCACCAGCCTAGGTCTGAGGACATTTTAGGACAAACATAAATATGCCTATTGCCAACACCACTAGGAAATTTCCAAGAACAAATAAATATGCCAGATGCATTACTGTCCAAGGCAGAGGCTTCTATGCTAGAGGCTGGAGAGTTCTAAGTCCTCCTGTAGTCTCTGAACAACTTGGTAATTTTCAAAATTCCCCCACCAGCTGACACTTCAGCAGAAAGTCAGGTGCAAAGCCACCACAAAATCTGAGAGGTGATGCTTGAGGCCACAGAGCACAACAGGTTGAAACATTTTTCAGGGCTCAGTACTACAGACTGTAGTGAAGTCTTTTGCATTTTCTGTTGTGGCCTTTAACTAATAACGACATTTTAACACTAAAAATCCTTCAGAAGACATTACTAAGTCAATCCATGTTTGTCAAGACACTTGCAGAGACAGTGTTTGACAATATATGATGTAGTCACATACACTGGAGTGATGCAGCATACTTTAAGTCCATCAAGAAAAGTACATCAAGTAAAACATGGGACATGTATAATCAATGTGTACAGCTTACCTATGCATATGTTAATCAATAGTTTGGGGACAAAAATATATTTAGTACTTAGTTAAAGGAAAAGCTGACTAAGAAGACACCTTTAGGTATATTCTCTTTACTTTTATTAAGCTACTACGAGTAAGGGATTGTGCTAGGGTTTTGCTTTGTAGAATCCATCAATAATGTTAAAGATAATTTGTCTTTACTGTAAAAGCAAACATGCTTTCCTACAACTTTCCCAACATGGCTTAGAACAAGAAGCCCATTTAAAGATCTTTAGTTGGCATCTTTATCTAATGGTCAACAACCGAGTTAGTTTTTGTTGGAGACTGGCTATTCATATTTCTCACACAAGTTAATAAGTGTTTTATTGAGAGGACCTGTTCCAAATCTTTATGGCTGATTCAAATAAAATAGTATGATAGTATTAACACGTTTCATTACAGAGAATTGTATAACACACCGTGTATTCCTACCTGGACAAATCATAAATACTGCAGCAGTACAGAGAAATGTTCCCAGAGGTACTCTACAATAAAAAGCAAAGGAAACAATACTTATCAGCAAACTATCTTTAAATATGCACTTGTAAGTGTATATTTTTACTTTATACCTTAAAATATACACACAAACTATTTTTAATAATACACTTAGGTGTAACAGGGAAAAACTGTGAGAAACATTTTTAGTTTCAAGTTACTGAGGTAACTCTCCTGATCCCCTTCAGAGAAGTTCTGATCTCTCAAGGCATGCAACTGTGCAATTTTAAAATATATTTACTTTATATCCAGGCGCTTCAGCGTCATAAGAAAAGAAGGCCAAAGTAATAAGCTCAAAAGAAGAAATTCTCCGTCCAAAATTACAACTCAGAGCTTCCTTTCAGACCTCTTCAGGAGAGGTGAATGATCACCAGTGAGACAGAGACATGAAAGCAGAATTACTTGTTTGCTTAGTTATGCCTGCATTGCATGATTAACTACACCAGATCATTTGACAATGCGGAAAACATACCCACAACTTTTTTGCTCTGGAAATCTCTGGGACTGGCTCCTCGCAATAAGGCAGATTGTGTTCTGCAAAAAATTCCTTCAGTGCTTGCTCGCTGACTTCCACACCAACAACGCTGTGCCCCATGTCCAGCAGCCTGCACACAGCAAAGAGAGGTCCCAAGTTTACGTGAGGCCCACAGGTTGGGCCATTACCAAATGTGTATCTCCCATGCAGCATTTACTCATTAGGGAAACTCCGGTATGTCTAAACCTGACTTTCTGGAGCATTCACATTTTATTGAACACCTCCCCTCCATGATCTGAGCTTAAATTAACACCACTCAGCATACAGTTGACAAGGACTTAGCAGGCTTTATTTAAAAATCAGTGGATTATTCGTTTATTTCTACGAACTCGAGGAAAACAAAGGTGATGACACAGAGAAACTCTCCATGTATCTTTTGCCCTGAACCGCAGGGGCTGGGGCGCGCTGTCCGCCCGGCTGCCTCTGCGGCTTGGCAGGAGGAGGCAGGAGCGCGCTGTAACCTCTTCACTGCTGCAGCTCAGCACAGCAGCAACTGTGTCAGAGCCCGCAGTCAGCCTAGGGAGTAGTTACCCTGATAAAACCCGGTAACTGGTACTAACTTGGTTCTCTGGGGATGCAGTTCAGTCAGGGGGTTTTGGTTTGCGTTCCCTCCGCCCGAGAAAAAAATGTTGGCTTATACAGTCCCCCTTATAAATATAACCCGCATAAGAAAGTAAAAGCAAAGTAATAAATGTAAAAAAAGAGGAAGTTACTTTTAGCCCAAATCATTTAAGTTCCTGGTGTGACACGCGACGTGGTCCCTTGAAAATGTGCTCTGGCACAACTGACCTCATTGCAGGCAATTTAAGCTGGCATTGCCACCAAAACAAGCAGTGGTAAGGGCATAGCTTCAGTCACTCTGTCTGTCACAAATTCAGCGTTCCCCGAGCTGAACTCGGGACAATCAAGAGGACTTTCAGGTTAGTCCCTGCCCATCCCATTTATGCTACTACACAAAACGCCAGCAGATGAAACCAAACTTCCTCCTCCTTTCAGCCTCCGGCGAGGCTGCTTTCCTACCAGCAGAGATGCGGCACATCTCCATTGGCTGGTAGAAGGTTGGGAATTCCCCCTCTCCCTCCCTCCCCTCCCCACATCAAATAAGATTTCTGCTCATATAATCTGTGCGTTACCATTTCATCTCTACTGCTTTACCACAAAGTGGGAAAAATATCCTCAGTCCAGTCTTGCCATTTAAAAGAACATCCAGATACTTCTGGAGGAGCCTGCAGAAGAACAGACATGTTTTACTTAACACTGCGAGTCTTTGTGCTTAAAAGCCAAATGCTACACACTATGCCAGGTGGGACACAAAACTCCATGACTGAACATCGATTCTTAGTTCAACCTGCTTCATACCATTAGTAATAAAAACATAAGATAAAAACATTCACCTTCCATTTACTTAGAAAGTAAATTTAATTTCCGTTAGAAACAAACACATTTCTGTTTGTTCTGTTTTCTGTTTGTCTTTTCAAGTAAACAAACCAACCACCCCACCTCTAAGAGGGCCACAACAGACAGCTTAAACAGAATGATTATTAAACTTCTGCATTGATCAAATCACTTCTATAGGTCTTAAATGTAAGTTTCATTGGTTCAAAGAGTCTATATTCAGGTTTGCTCTCTTAGGTCCCTGCCTTCCAGTACACAATAACTGCTCCAAAGCGCTCTGCATATTGTTTTAGGCCCCAGTTTTATAACTTACGAACAGCAGTGCAGGTCTTCTACATCAGAAAATTTCAGAATTTTAGCTAAGCTATGCAAGCTTTATAGTTTGAAACCCCATTCGAAAGATCTAAATTCATTTCAATCATTTCTCTCATCTGCCCTTTTTTGACAAATGTAGGTCACAAAAATATGTATATTTTAGTTTCAAGCCGTGCATGTGTAAAATAATTTTCTTTTTGTAAATCCTCTATTTTCTGTTAAGAGTTTTTTTGAACGAGTTGAGTCATCTCACAGCATTTCTTTAAACAGATTAACCAGAAGAGTGAAGTCACGTACGGATGCCCTTGTTCCTTGTGAAACCCAATGTTACCCATTTCCCATTTTTGCAGCCATTCCTCCTCAGTCACCACTCTGTCCTTCTGTGACCCAATATCTGAGCCTCCCAGGACCCCGGATGCATCCGCTGAGCGGTCCATTGTCCCCGGGGAGTGCTGGTAGCTGTGGTGGGGAAAAAAAAAAAAAAAAAAAAAAAAAAAAAAAAAAAAAAAAAAAAAAAAAAGAGAGAAAAATTGAAAAATTACCCCCACTAAATGTATAATTCGGAAGTGGCTCTTGCTTCCCAGAATCAAATTAAAATGTATTACAGCTTGAGAGATGATTATAATTTAGCGACTATTTAAATGTAGCTGTGTCGAACGTGATCGAGCACACTCTTGCTACCGACGGCTTCGGCCAGACTTTCCCCCCCCCGGCGGGAAGCCTGCCCAAACGCGCCCCGTTGAGGACCTCCCGTTTTCACACACATTTGGAAGCCACCCAGACGCTGCCCGGCCCCCGCTGCCCCGGGGGGGCGCAACCACGGCCCCAAGCCCGGGGCCGGTAAGGAAGGAGGTCGATGCCGGCACTCCTCTCTCCCGGTGAACCCCGTGGGTAGATCGCGGGGCGAGAAGCGGCGAGAGGGGACCCGGAAGGACCCGGGGCGGGGGAGCTCGACACCTTCCCCCCCCCCCCCCCCCTTCCTCCTCGCCACCTCCCCGCCCGGCTGGCCGCGGGTACCTGCGCGGCGGGTCCCACGGGGGGCTGTGTTCCCGCGGGGGGCTGTGCGGGGACGGGGCGGCGCCTGCCCGCCCTCCCCCTCGCTACGCACCGCGGAGAGCGGAAGCGGCGGCAGGAGGAGGCGGGCTGAGGGTGCACGGCACCGGGGGGGGGGGGAGGAGGAGGAGGAGGAGGAGGAGGAGGAGGAGGAGGATGGCGGCGGCGGCGGCGGTGAGTGACCCCCCCCCCCCCCCCCCCCCCTTCCCTCGGCTTCAGCGCCCGCCGGGGGCCGCCTGCCCCCTCCCCGGCCGGCGGGGCAGGTGCGAGCGCTGCCCCGCTCCTCACCTCCCCGCTTCTCCTTTCCTTCTCTCCCTCCCTCCTTTCCCTTCCTTCCCCCTTCTCCTCCCTTTTCTCCCCCGCTTGCAGCTCTAGCAGGAGGCGCCGCGGACACGCGTGAATGTGATCTCCGGCCCCTGAGGTGAGTGCCAGGCGGTTCCGCCGCGCCGGCCGGCCGGCCGGCAGCCCCAGGGACCTCCCCCTCGGGTGACCTCCCCCTCGGGTGACATCCCCTCCCCCGGGGACCCCCCTCCCCCGGGGACCCCGCTAGCCGGCTGGGCGCCGGCCATTTACTCGGGGGGAGTTTTAAAGGTGTGCGCACTTCGCGGTTCCCACCTCCCCTTGTTGCTCAGGCTGCTCTCGTTTCCTCTCTGGCCGTGTCAGGGTGTGGGGTTCCTTTCCTCCTTCCACCCCTCCCCGTGACACCCCCCCCCCCCCCCCCCCCCCCAAAGACAAACTTGCTGTTATCTGTACATACAGGTAACCCCCCCCCAAGCTTTCCCATCTAGGCCACGCATTGCTGACGGATGAAGTGCTATGGAGTGTGACAGCGTATTACGCATCTCTTTTAAAGGGCTCATTTCCTCAGCCAATAAGATAATGTTTATAGGATGCAGAGTCATGTAAAGCTTAGTAAAGTAAGCGATGTTTGCTTCTTCTTTAAAAACCTGTGGGTTTTTGGTGAGTGTTGTTTGTTTTGGGAGGGGAAGTGGGGACAAAGTGGCATGCAACTGGAAGCGATGGCCTTGCTTACAGTAATAGGCATAAGCTATCTCTTCTTATTTTTCTCTTTCTCCCCACCTCTCTCTTCCCCCTCCCGTGGTGCTCACTGCAAAAACACCTTTGTAATTCTGTACGACTGGCCCCTGCCTTTCAAAACGGGAGGCCTCTCTGAATCTTAAATATTTTTACCAACCTTCTTAGTGAATGGTAACTGCCACCTTTTCTTCTTTCTAACCCTGAATACGCAATGAAGCAGCTGCATGTCCTTTTACCTTTTTGGATAAAGGGCCTCGCAGCGGCCTGTCATCACCTGGTAGTCACCAAAATGAGTCGCCTGGTGCCTTGCCCAGTGCTGAGGTAGCTCGTAGCATCTGACTGTAAAGGCAATGGCACGTAGGAATGATTATCTAGCGACAGAAGCTGAGCAGCTACAGAGATACTGTTGTGCCACTGATCTAAAAGGAAAGCTCCTGGGGGAAAAAGCCACTGTTTCCTGGGGCGTTACACAGTAGCTCAGGGAAATCTCATGTAAACGAAACTGGTTGGTTTTCATTTCTCTACTCTTCAATCTCATCCACCCCCATAGAGTGTGCCCTGGTTTCAGTGGTAAATTATGGTGGAGTCATGCTTTTTTTTTTTTTTTTTTTTTTTTTAGATAATAAGGATTTACTTAATTCTTTTTTTCCTCTAATTATTTATAATGGGCGGAGGGGTTGCATTAAAAAAAATAATCTTTTGTATTGGGTTGTCTGAACTAATTTTTCACTTATGTGGACATCATGTGATTTCCCTTCCCAAATCAATTTATTCTATCTTCAGAGGAGAATAAAACACCAGTTCACTTGATTTACATCAGCTTCATTTGAAACTGTGTAAAAATGCCCATTCTCTCCTCCTGTTACCTTTACTTTTAGCCGAATTCCTGAATGAGGCTACTGCTACCATGTCCATCACTGTCAGCTTGAACAAGGAAGGTGCAGCTTGGAACAGAGAAAATTGAGAAGTCTCAAATATATTAAAAAAAAAAAAAAATTATGAACTGATCCCTATTACAAGATAACATTCATATTGCAGTGCTGTAATATAAGGGTTTTATTTCCACTTCCTTTCTGTATGTGGTGGAACACATTTAGATTTAATTCCTCCTCTAGGCTCTCTTTAGTTGTTTTACTCCCTGTGAAAAGAATGTCTTTGATAATACCATTTAAAATATGCTTTCATGTTTCTGTGGCATACTTTCTCAGACTCCATGCTTTCCATCTTACATGATAAACTCGTCTCTTCCGTGTTCGCACCGATATACTCAGACAGCTACAGAGCTCTCTTGTGGCATAAACCTTTTATTTTCTCCTACAGTGTGCTTAACAACAAAGTTTGTAATATTCCAGTCACCTAAAATTGCAATGCAACTGCAGTTTAGACTTTAAATTCTGATGTACTTTCATAGGAGGGTATGCACGTCTTGGAACTGATTGTTCACCTGGTATTAAACATCTCTTCAGTACACTCTTTGGAAAGGTGCTTTACAGTGCAAATCTCTTGCTAACAATAAATCAGCAGTTAGCAGGACGAGTGTTACTCAGTGGTATTTCAATGCTTGCATTATGAGCTGATACCTATTCACTTAGCCAACCCAAATTCCAATCCAGGTCTTCACGTAATGCAAATCAGATTACTGAAACCCAGGGTATGCTGATCTGGAACAGCCTGTCATGATGTACTCAAGGATCTAATCTTAACTCCAAATTTAGTTTAAAATGGTAGTATTGTTCTTTTCCCATAATGCCTCATTTTAATTTCCCTCCTGAATTAATAGTCAAGCTAAACAGATTTTTACATCAGTAACTCTGACAAAAGTAGTTTTATGAGTAGCTGTTCTGCCCAGGTGATTAGACAGCTCTGCAGAGTCAAACAATTTAATTTTTATTTTTAACTACTGCCTACCTATTTTGCAGATCTAATAATACAATGTCAACTGGAAGGGTACGAACGAAAAAAAAGGCATGTTCTTCAGACCAGTCTCCAGACAACCTTCCTCTGAGGAGTTCTGGAAGACAGGTATTTATAATAATTTAAAAATACACGGGTTTGTACTCTGGTATTTTTTATTTTCTACTGATATTTATCAAGAAAGCAGGCTTTACTGTGGGTAAGTTAAGACTTAGAGTACTCAGAGAGAGGGAGAATTAGTTAAAACGCAAAGTATCATCTGTGAACAATATTCAGAAAAGATAAATGCTCAATATAACCTGTAAAAACTTGCTGTGTTAAAAATACAATCACAGATTTCTGTACAGCCAGCCAAAGCTGTCTGCCCATCCAGACGGAGGCCTAAACCAGCACAGTACACAGTACCTTTGAGGCACAGAAGAGACATTTGGTATACAGCTTTGTATCTAGAGTCCAAAAAAGCCCCAAGCCTACCCTAATATTTCATTTGAGGCACAGATAAGATGGCCACTAATTAATAAGTATGTAAAGAAGAGATTTTCTGAAGGAGAAATAGAATGAACGCATGAGGCTTGACTCATTAGCATGTGATGGAGCTTAAAATATGATTTGAACTGGAAGCTCTGCTTATAAATTCTTCAATGGCATCAGTTAGACTAAGGCAAGACATTTTTAGCTTTAAATGATATTTCCAGCCTTACTTTTTTTTTTTTTTTTTTTTTTTTGGTAGAAAAACTGTCCTACTTTGTCAGCTGTTTCATGCTTCAGCTATTTTCACAATGGATACGAAACTTGTCATTAGTACTGTTTTAACCATTTGATGCTACCCATAAGCTGCAAAACTGCCTAAGTGCCATTTTGTAGAAGATGCATTTGTATGATTTCTGGTCAGATTTCAGCTATTCTTTATTAGGTGAAGAAGAAAGCGGCTGAAGCAGCAGATGATGATGATGAAGCATCAGAGAAGAAATACAGAAAATGTGAAAAAGCTGGATGCACTGCAACATGTCCCGTTTGCTTTGCCAGTGCATCTGAAAGGTTTGTTTCTTTTTATTTACATTTTCCATGGACTCTTCTAAACTTGCAGCTGAAGTTTAGGATCCTAACTATATCATCCCTTTGTTTCTAAATGTAGAGGGAGAATCGAAAGGTACTAATATGAGTCCTAAGATGCCAGGAGAGTGTCACAAATTACTCCTGTTGGGGATGACTTTCTCCTGTGCAAGTTGCTAATTCAGATATAGAATATCTTTAGAATACGCTTATTTATGTTATTAATGGTGTCTTCTGGAACACACCTTGCTTCTGTGAAACTGAGAGCATATTAGTGTAATCTGAGGAAGCTAAACTTGCTTTCAAGATGGAAAATGAAACTGTTTACTGCAGAAAGTATGTATCATCCTTTCATTGGAATGCTTTGCAGTCAGAGGTGAGATTCTGACCCTGAAATTTTAGGCATTGGAAGACAGTCTTATCTGAATTCTTTGTTCCTGAGTTGTTCCCGGCTCTCTGTGTACTTGCAGAAGTCCTCTTGCATTCTGACCCTGGGGGTACCGAATGCATGATACTGGCAAGGTGTATCTATCTAATAATAAGCAGCATGTTAGACCTCGTTATGCAGTAGGCAGACTGTAATTATATAGCATTCCACCCTTGCTGGATAATTGAGACAAACTTTCCTTGTTTTACTTCTTTTCCAATGATATAATAGTTGTCTATGTGGATTGTTCTTTGGTGGCAGGAAGTCAGTGTATTCTAGATGTTGTCATAGGAAAGCCGAGTGTCTTGGCAGTTGTGTAAGAGACTTGTAAGGGGAAATGAGCACCTGAGACATCAGCATTAGTGATCCTGTTTTTTATTTAGGAAACAATAGATACTGCTTAGTCATCTTTTTGAATTGTTATTTTAATATTTTGATTTCCACCCCTCCAAGTATGTACTTTCAATATTATTTATTTCAGATGAGATCATTTCATGGCTAGCTATTTCAGATAGTAGCTTAGGTTGCTGCTTTTTACCTCATCCTTTTTACCTCGTCCTTTTTACCTCGCATGTTTATCTTGAACCATTTCATTGAGTTTAATGAGAGTTTTCCAAGTGGAGAGTGACTGCTTTGTCTGATGAATATAATCTTTGCTAATGGATATTTCTTCCTAAGAGTAATAAAGAATAAATGCCCAGAATGTGTAACTGCTCCCTCAGCATTTTCTCTCATTGGGTTAAAATCGCAGCCAACTTGGTCACGTGAAAAAAATAGGCAACATCTGTTTTGTGTTCAGATTTGCCTTTATAGTTTTGTCAGTTGTTTGGGGGACAGGATGTCGTAATGATTTGTGAATCAATTGATTACAAGAAAAATATTAATTTAAATGATCCCTCTCACCCCCGCACTCATATCAGAACAAAATGGAACAAAGTAAAGGAACTGTAAGCTCCTGTGGAGAGGGACTTTGTCTTCTTACACATTTGCAAAACATTTAGTGTGTCACAGCACATATTGTAAGAACAAAAGTATTTCATGTTCAGGAAACGTCTGCTTAAAGGGTACTAAAGACAGGCTCAGTTGACCATTGTTAGCGGGAGGGTGCTGGAAGCCAGACCAACTATAAAACTGCACATTGTGTACGTTTCGCCTCCTTCGCATCTGGTGCTGCTTAGTTTGGAAACTGGAAGTGTTTGAGACAATTGAAATGATCTTACTGTTATTTATATGACTGTAGTGCCTTGTGCAAGTCAGCCTTCATGAATGTAACAGAAGGCCCGGGCTTGTCCTGAATTTTTTCATGTTCTAGAATGTGCTACTGTCAATAGAAAGATTTTTTTCTAAATGTATCGTAAAACTATTTCTATGTCTCCTGCATTACAGATGTGCTAAAAATGGGTATACGTCTAGATGGTATCATCTTTCCTGTGGGGAACACTTCTGCAATGAATGTTTTGACCACTATTACCGAAGGTAGATTTGCAGACATTATAATTTGGCAGACATTATAACTGTTGAAACATTATGCATGTAAACGAAGACTTGTCCCCTGTGTTTGCTTTGTTCAAAGTGAGGCTTAGATATTGGTGCTAAAATGGCAGGTGTTGTATGGACTAATCAACAACTGAAACATAGCAGTGTGAACAAAGCTGGTTACTTTAGGCAGGTTGGTTTGTGTGTACAGCTATTGTGAAGCTTTTATCTTTTTTAAAACAACATAGGGGAATTTTAAATGATGAAAAGAGTTATAAGTAAATCTATTTTCCTTTATAAAGCAAATTCACTTTACAGTGTGAGTTCAGGAGACCTTGCCTCTCTGTAACATCAAATCAGTGAGCAGATTTAACTCTTGTGGTTCAGTGACTGTGAAGACTCTGGTCAGGCTTGCAGACAGCTTTCAGCTCCAAAGCTCCTTCCCATTTGAGTGGGAGTTGAGTTAGCTCTATTAAGATTTTTGGGTGCTTGCGTGCTCAGCAGTACCTGTGACTCAGTACAGGCCTTAAATACCAAGAATTGTGCTTAGGATCAAGAAGATGTAGTGGTCAAGATGCAATTTACTGCTATTGGAAGAACCTTGACTTTCTCCTTTTTTAATAGGAAAAATACAGAACTCTCTACAGCCTTATTTCTCTGTCATTACATAAAATGTTTAATTATAGAATAACTGCTGTTGCTTGAAATGAACTAGATACTCAATTTTTTGACTGCTTGCTGGTTTTTTTTCTTCTTTCTTCTTAGCCATAAAGATGGTTATGAGAAATACACTGCCTGGAAAAGGATTTGGACAAGTAATGGTAAAAGTGAGCCCAGTCCAAAAGCCTTCATGGCTGACCAACAGCTTCCTTATTGGGTAAGATGGAGGGTGATTTATTTAACAGGGTATATTTCAATATGATGTTCTGATATGTTTTCAATATTGTATGTTCAAGCAGGTCAGTTGAGTTTTTGTGGGGGTTTTCTAGTATTAGAGGACTGTGGAAAAGATGAAGATAATAATTCTCATCAGCTCCTTCATGGTTGGAGACCTCCTCCACACCCCACAAAGAAC